TCCCAGAATTCCCCATGCTGGTTGGGGAATTCTGGGAGTTGAAGTCCACACATCTTCAAGCTGCCAAGGTTGAGAAACACTGTGGTATAGGATGAAGTAAAGAAGTTATGGTTGGCTAGATCCCATCCCATCCCCAATTTTAATTACACTCTCAACCACTCTGACTAATAGAACAATCTGAATTCTGTCAATAAAAGAAATACAGTAAGTTTAACCAGACAATTAGCTATAAACAGCAGCTATATATGCTAGCACAAGTCCATGAAAACGAGGGACTGGTCGCTATATTGCCTAGCCACTAGATGACACTGGACTTAATTGTATCTGGTGAGGTCAGGAGTTTCCTGTTCCTGTTCTGTTCTTTACTAATAGAGATAATAAAGTTCTTGTCTCACTTCCTGATTTGTCCCCAAACCATCCATGACTTGCTGTTAGAAGTCAGGTTTTTAAACCCACAGATTCCTAACAAGATGAGAAAAGTGACAACGTTCTTTGCACTAAAAGGCTTAATTTCTAATAATACAGCAGGGCCACAAGAACTGGGGTGGGAGGGAAGCTTTCTTACGCCCAGCTCGGAAAGATCCCCAAGGAGAAGGAAACCGTGCAATTAAGTTCACTGCTTTAGGTCATTGGGAAAGAAGCCAGCAATGTCTATAATGCTTTTGCCCTTTCCAAAGAGAGGCACAAGCCTGACTCTGGGATTGTCCCGGGCAAGGCTGACATGCAATTTATCCCCAAGAAGAGTCATTGACATTTTGTTGAGTTGATTGGAAGAAAACTATGGCAGATGGTGGAAAGTATAGAACGGCCGAATCATGAATGGCCAAATCATGTTCTTTTGACATGGAACTCGGAATACTTAATAAAAACTAAGACCCCAAGAAGATTTCTGCTGGATGAAGCCAAAGTCCCAAGTAGTCTTATGCGTGAGGTCACAGGGTGGTTCCCTAATCCACACAGGAAATTCACAGTAACATCTGGCAAAGTACAGTTCTCAACTAGCATTTGAAAACCCAGCACTGTACTGGTTGTCAGAGTTTCCAGGTCCAATTCATAAAGCTGGTTATACCTATAAAGCCCTATGCAGTGCAGTATCCGAGGACCTTAGAGACCACCTGCCCACCTTGTAACAGCATCAAGAGAGAGCTTGCTCAAGGTCCCATCAGGATGAGAGGTGAAAGAAACATGGGCCAGAAAGCAGGCAGGCCTTTCCTGTGGTTGCCCCAACAATGGAGCACATTGGCCCGGAGATAAGGGGGGCTGCTTCACTCCTGAGTCCAGAAGACTCTCCTCTTCAAGCAGACATTTGATCTGAGCTGAGGGTGGCCGGGCAGCCACTTTTAGCTTGGTCTGAGGGTGTCGAGTTTTGCTATGAATCGTTATTTTATGTTGCACTGTTAACTGCAGTTGAGTGATTGGAGCATTGTGTAAAAATTGTGGAAATACATAAATAAACAAATAAACAAACAAATAAATAAATAAATGGCAGTCCTTAGTGTTAATGGACTTAATAATATCTAGGTGGAATCGGGTTTCTATCACTGTTCTTTTCTCACAAGAAAGGGTTCTTGGCTAGCTTTTTGACTGGCCTGTCTTCTGAGCTTCCCAGGATCATATCAGTTTTCTGGAACTCAAAATCTGCCTTCATAGACTCCTAATCTGTAGAATAGAGCTCTTGTTCAAGAGACACTATTACAGTGTTTCTTCATTCCAGCACTCAGGTTTACCACCTTTGGAAGTAATTTATTCTTGTAGGGAATAACCTATATTAGATAGAGTAGATTGACTTCATTCTGTTTTTTCTATGATAGGCAAACAAATAAAATATATCAAATTTATACTGGAACAAATACTGTAACTATATGTTATCATCTATAGGCAATATCTTTTTTTTTTTTAATTCTCCTTGTTTTCCTTAACTCCTTTGTAAGGTTTGTTCTCCTCAGCTGCAACCATCTACTTGAAAAAGCATCTTTTTTAAAAACAAAATTATGGCACTGTTTAAACGAACAGACAGTTGCAACGTTGAGATGGGACTCTTAAGGTGAGCGGGATTCACTTGCTGGGGAGTGAACGTTGACTTACCAGACGTTTCTTGGGCCGAATGAGGGGCCGGTTCTGGCCATTCATCTTGTGGTAGAGCCCACAGGCATTGCAAAGATAGTGGCCAGTGCCATCTCTTCTCCACAGGGGGGTGGCTGTGGCTCCACAGTTCACACACTCACGTGCCTCTGTGGGAAGAGTTGGGAAGAGACTTTTAAGGAGAAGATAGCATGATCTTTCATGTGGGAGAATATGGTAGGGTCTTTCATTTCTAGGAAAGGCTGTCATTGCTGTTGAAACAGTGCTGAGTTGGAGAAGGACAGTTTGAGAAAGGGCAAGAAACTAGTAGGACCTACTTTGTAGAATGAGCTATCAGATCAGGAAGAAGATTCTGTTTTTGATATATAGGGCTTTAACAACTCAAGACCAGAAAACCTGACAGAGTGCCTCTACTGATAGAGACCTGTTCAATCACGAAAGCCCTCAGAAGAGGTCCTTCTGCACTTGGCAGAGCATCATCTTGCATTTAGCTGCAGATGGGCCTTCTCTGGAGTGGCATCTGCTCTTAGGATTGCAATATTCATGAAGCACCTCTATTACGATAGAACAAGAATGGTCTGTACCTCATCAGATTCCAAATGGGAGAAGTCACATTGTGGCTTTGTGATTCCACAGTACCCTTGTGCAATGCTATGGATTTAATTTAAACAAGGTTGGAGTACACAAGGACATGAATGTGACACCTGTCTGCAAATCTGTTAAATAGCTGAATCTTTTCCTAGGTTCATGGGGGTAGCCTTGGTTCCATAACTGTTTCTTTTAAGAATCAAAACAAGATGATGGTGGAGAAATTATATCTGTGTATTATATCTCATTATATAATGTAGTCATTAGTGACACTGGGCAATTATACCTGGGTAGAATCTGGTGTTTCCATCACCATTCTGTTCTTGTTACACAATCAGTGCACAATCCTTGGAAAAGGCACAGCTGTTTTAAAGAGTTGCAGAGAGGTCTAAAGTTCATGTCTCGGCCTGCCCCAAAGCATCTTTTTGGAATTGAATCCAAACTGCTGCATAGCTTCCTTTACTAACGTTGGAAATTCAGAATATTAAAAAGATTTAAAGCCCATGTCAAGAGCAGCAAAAAAAGATGCATTCCACAGTTTCTTCCTCTTACATCAATGCTGTGGATTTGCCAGACATTTTTAGCACAAGGTAAGCCTATGAAGGGGGTTCCCTTATTCCAAACCTGCCATTATTTTATAACATCTAAAATATCCAGCAGAAGATCTCACCAGTGGGGGAGAGCTGCGTTGTCCCCCGGAGTTTGGGGGAATATCCAGCTGTCAGGGGGCTTCCAGGCATCGGAAAGTATCCATACTCCTGTCCCATAGTGTAAGGAGTGTGGGCTGTGCCAGGTGAGGTCCCGAGGGGCAGCAGTTCAGCATGAATGGGGCTGATCCGTTCGGTCTTCAACATCTCCAGATATCTGGGGCTGCTCTTGTCCTCGGGGGGAAGGTCCTTGGGAGAGGGTGGCGCATGCAGGGTCTGGTAGGAGGATGAGGCAGAGGTATAGATTGGAAGCCCAGCATGGGTTTTCCCAGAGGCACTGGAGACCCAGGCCGCTGTGCTGTAGGGATGGCCATCCCCCCATTGCAAACCATTGAGAAGAGGGTATAATTGCCGCACTGTTGCAGAGATGGGACATCGTAGTAGCAGTGGTGATGGTGATGATGGTGATGATGATGGTGATGATGATGGTGATGACGATATGCAAGAAATAACAACACCATAGTGAGCATGTATGTGCATGCATGTAGACTAAGGAAAAGTGCACTACCTAATGAAAGAGATCAAGTAGATAAGGTGCTAAACATGGTTGGTTCATCATCATCTGAGCAACAAAAGCATCTGCTTTTGATTGTATTTGAAGGAAAGGTTGGCAGATTTCCGTACAGGAAATAAAAGGGAAGCATGATTTAAAATCACATTTTTTAAACACACACACACACAAATAGATATACACAAACATACAAACATGTCTATGTCTATGTATGTGCATGTGTATGTATACATTTATACATTATTTTATTGAGTCTAAAATTCTTACACTAGAATTCCAAGTTCTTCGATTCATTATGGTGAAGCTTCAATATGGTGAAGTTAGTAAAGTTTGGCAAAATTTGCAGCAGGAAAACACAGCAATAACAGTTAAAGGGTTTACCCGTAATGCTAAGCCACAATTTGTTTCAATGTGGCGTGTTGACTAAATCAGATTTGTCTGGCTCCACACAACGTACTTAGCCATAAATCCTGGTTTACAAGCCACAATGGCTGCATTTGTACAATACACTAAACTGAATATAACATGTGAACTCAGCTAATATCAGCCAAGCGTCCAGAATTTTTTAAGAGTGTTGAGACTATGTAGGAGAGCAAGAATATTATGGTCACTTCTTGGTTAGACTACCGCAATGCGCTCTACATGGGGCTACCCTTGAAGAGTATCCAGAAGCTACAGCTGGTTCAAAATGCAGCCACGCAGACAATCTTGGGTGCCCCTAGGATGGCACATATAACACCTTTGCTACGGGATCTGCGTTGGGTGCCAGTTTGCTTCCAGGTCCAATTCAGGGTGTTGGTTATCACCTTTAAAGCCCTACTTGGCATGGGTCCAGGCTACCTAAGGGACTGTCTCACCCCATCACATTAACCCATCCCACCTGGTCAAGCAGAGAGGACATGATGTGGACCCCATCAGCGAGAGTATGTCGGCTGGTGGGGCCTAGGAGGAGAGCTCTGCCATTGCCCCCGCCCTTTGGAATATTCTCCTCCCAGAGATGCAGCAGGGCCCTACCCTCCCGGCTTTCTGGAAAAGGTTAAAGACTTGGCTCTGCCAGCTTACGTGGGGCAATGGGAACTCTGATCTTGGGGGTGGCTGGCGCCCTGATGATGCTCCCTGAGCAACTCGCCAATTTCACCAATTCTTGGAATCTATTTATTATTTAACACTGCTTTTATATTGTATTTTAATTTATTTTATCCTTTCTGTAAACCACCCAGAGTTGCTTTTTAACAAGATGGGAGGTGACAAATTTGATATATAAATTAAAATAAATAAATAAAATGATAAAAAATGAAGGCTATTACATAGAGAATTTAATCTGAGTGAGGGCTCACCAGGGCTTGGCTCTGAATTTATTTTTTGTGCTAGGACTCAGATCTGTCCTGTAGTATAGAAAGCCATAGCAAAAGTATCTAGGATTCAGTGAATGATTTCAGTTCACGCAACCATCTGTGATTAAAAAGAAGGATATTTTTTAACATGATGTCCTCTGGATGTGTTAGGCTACAGTGCCCACCATTTTTGGCTTTAGTGTGCATCTCTGGATAACTCTAAATTGGGAAAAAGCTGCAGAAGAAGTTTAGGTTTCCAAGTCTTTCTTTAAAAACTGGGATCAGCCTCCAAAGATTCAAACACCCATGGCCTCAATGGAATCAAAGTCTAACTTCTTCTGGTTGCTACATTCATACCTACCTGGAGAGTGTCTGTAGGATTCAGGCATTCGAGAGAAATAAGTGGGCACAGCATTGGAATCAACTCCCTCAGGACCAGTAAAGAAAAGGTCTGAGTCATCGTTTGCTTGCAAATGGGAGGACTCTATATATTGTGGGACAGAATCCTGACTGGAGTAATCCATTGTCCTTTCTTAGAACTTTCTTCTGCAAATGATAAAGCCTACATGAAAAAGAAAGAGGGTGTCATACAAAACAGAAAATACTAGGTATAACAAGTTACTGTGATCAAGTATTATTTCAGGACCTAGTGGTTAGAAGGACCCAAGGATGATAGGCATTAGAGCTCTGGGATCTCTTTCTTCACTTATGAAACATGGGATTTTCAAGGATTTTAATTTCAATTCCAAACTGTCCTATACAACTAGCAAAGCATATGATAGGTTAAAGATTCATTTTTCCTGAATCCTAGTAGCATCTCCAGTTCCTTGGGTAACGTGGAATTTTCAAGATAAATGGTTTTCAAAATGTCTCCCCAGATGGAGCAATTTATAAGCTACATGTATGGTCCAGTAGGCACATTGGGCATTCTGTCAGTCTAATCACAGACTCATCACTGGAAAGGCCCATCGCAGAAAATCTACTGATATAATATTCATTAGCTACCCAGTCTCTATTTAAAAGCCTCTGAGGAAGGAGAGTATACCATCACCTTCAACCTTTTCTCATACTTCTAACTTCTTGCCATCCTTGTCATCCTTCCTTGTCCTCTAGGCATATTCCAGCTTATTGTTATTGTTCTGGAACTGTGTTTTAAATTTCCTATTATTCCTTATAGGGACCGCTGATATTTCAACAAGCTAATTAACCAAGTGAAATAATTCATCTTTTTGCTAAACTTCCATTCTACTTTATCAAAAGCCCTTTCTGTATTGGAAAAAAATAATTTGAGAAATTGTTCTTGTCTCCCACTATCTCATTTATGATACCAATTTCTCATTAACCCTTTCTTTAGTCTCATCATTTTATATCTGTTAAGTGATAAATATCTTCAATTTATATGCTGAAATTGCAGTCAATATTTTGTGTGATCCTTGCTTTCTATTGGTGATTAACCTAGGCATAAGATGTGTCAGTCAAATTTTGAACTGCCCAGGCCTTTTTGGAGTAGATAAAAATGCAAGCATTGATTTAAAAAGAAAAAAAAGTACCCAACATTTCTCTCTTTTGGATTATCCCAATGATCAGCTAAAATGATGCTTGTAATGGGTTGATCAGAAAATCCCCTTTCCAAGTCCATAGAATAATATCCTGTCTGCACACAACAGAGGAGAGAGTAGCATTGCTCTGGTGGATTAACAACGCTGCTGTGTTTTCCCCCTTTCAAAAGACTGGATGGCAAATGGTAACTACTATATACCATGGCTACCTCAGAGTAGAAATACAGATGTACCAACAACTAGACCTAGATTCATGCCTATAACTGAGCATTGTATGTGTGCAGTTGTCTACCCTGATCTTAGCATCATTATTCCTGGCCTAAAACTACCCTGAAATTAAGAAATTGAGGCATTAAGTTCACTTTCCTCTCTCTATCTGTCTCTCTGATCACTTTCTCTTTCTCAGAACTGACAACTCACTTTCGAGTGTGCTTTTTGCTCAGATATCATTTTACAGATCTGATTATATTCCCCTCCCCAAAGTATGTCTTTCTGCATCAACATTGTATGTGTGTGTGTGCGTGCTTGCATGCATGCATGCTGTAATGAAAGCTCACTAAGGGACTCCCCTTACTACACTGAACATAATGCAGAAAGCCAGTGTGTCAGACTAGACCTGGGAAGCCCCAGTTCAAAAATCCCCATTGAGCCATGAAGCTCACAGGATGACTTAGGACCAGCCTCTCCTCTCTTCCCACTTTTTCTTGAGAATTTTGTTAAGATAAAACAGTGATGATGGTGAGGCCACCATGCAGGCCATAATGATCCACCTATCCATGCCTTTTGCTCTAAACATGATCCACCTGTGAGAAAGTCCTCAAAGATTTTTCTGCTCGTGATGGAACTGAGACAAACATTTCCTCAAGTATGCTTTTGATGGGCTTCACAGATCATTCCCAGCCATGTTTATTAATTAAGTCACAATTGGCTGAATTCACTTGACATGCCAAGAGTTTTTCCCATACTGATTGAAAGTAGTCCTCACCTCTCCCAGGATTGGCAGAAAACTCTATTGGCATGGAATGTGCTGGCCCCATTCCCAATTCCAGTCTTGCCTCTGCCCCCAGTCACCAGTTGCCTGACTTCCTTTCAAGGGAACTGAGGCTGCCCTTGGTAGAGTAAAATCGTAGGGACATGGTAAAAAGAAGAAATGTTGTCAGCCAGGACATGCTTGCGCCATGGTGAAGTGCAACAGGGGAAAGACCCTAAGTCACTGTCATAAGTGGGTTCACCCAACATACTAAACCAGGGTTTCTCAACCTTGGTAACTTTAAGATGTGTGGACTTCAACTCTCAGTATTCCCCAGCCAGCATATTCTGGGAGTTGAAGTCCACATGTCTTAAAGTTGCCAAGGTTGAGAAACCCTGTACTAAACCAAAAACAAACAAACATGGCTTAAACATGCTGTGTGAGCTAGGCCTAACTGTGACCTAACTCTTGCTGAGGTTTATGTCTGAATCTGTGCTGGGGTGAGAGACTGCACTCGGACCCTCGCATACCTGAATGTTCTGTTCTAAATAGGAAAAAAAAATCCTTCCATATAGAAAACTAGCATTTCAAGGAGAAGTCCAGGCTAGAGAGCCAGCATGATGAAACCACGTGTGTTTTATGCCAATAGGTCACTCAACAAGACAAGTTCCTACCCACATGTAGCATATGCAACACGGCCCTGGGCCAGTAAGATTAACTTACTTGATAGATAACTGTGAGATGAAGTAAAGTGAGGGGCATCCCATATTGATTCCTTGGAAAATGGTTACTTTGCATATAAGATTTAATATCCTCCAAGATATTAAATTTTATTACCCCACCCCGCCACATAAAAATTGTCAGAAGTCAAACCAGAACAGGGAAAATGTAAAAACTTCTGAGCTTTTGTCCCTCCCCGCCCCTTAAAGAGGCTAATAATAATGTTGATAATAAGAGTAGGGCAGGGGCTTGAATGAGGATAGATCAGGCATGTTACAGGTTTAAACATCCTTTTTTCTAGCTGTGGAGCACCAGTCCCATGAAGGTGTGGTCCAAAGTTGAAAGATCCAATCACGGAATTTGTCATGTCTCTTTAGCCCTAAGTTAGCAGCAATCATCACATCTTGCAGCAACAAGAAGGACAAGATTTTTAGAGTTTTCTCTTCTGGGGGCCACCAGTGGTGGTTCTAGTACTCCACTCTTCTTGAGAACCAATAGTCCCATCTACTGCCCCAAATGGCTGTGCCACACTTTGGGATTCTCTGCTGGCCATCACATTCTTCTAGGTCCTGCATAAAATAATGTTTTCCCTTCCCCATCCTTCTATGACCCTGTTCTTCCCCCTTGGATGGCAGTTGGATCTGCTGCCAGGCCTTATCCTCCCATCTCTGCAATGTGTTCAAGCACGGGGTACCAAAGGAAGCTTTTGAAATCAAGCTTGAACAGACACCAACTTCCTCTAAATGTGGGACTAGTGGGACTGTTGTTTTTCTGATTCACTTCCTCCCCCTTTCCACCTCTGGGGGCCTTTAGAGGACTTCCTGGATTCTCTTCTCACTGTGGGAGGGGAATCGACAGGACTGGAAGCTCACATGCATATTTTGTCATTTGTATTTGTTGTATCTTAAAGTTGCTTCCCTTCTTTGATCTTGAGGGACACAAGTGGCACCACATAATTTCAAACCAGTCTTCCCGCAACTTGGTGCTTTCCAGATGTGTTCAGTAACATCTGCTTGTGCTGCTTGGGGATGATGGGAGTTATGCTCAAAAACACCAGCCTGGAGAAAGCTATTTGAGACCAAGTAACAAAATCAGAGCAAGTAAAATGAGATTCCTTCTGATCTCTATCCCATCCTGCTGGCCTTCCAGAAAGCCTTTGAAGACCTTGCTGGGCTAGGCCTTGGGTTAGGGCAGTTGGGGCCCCTGCCAAATTGTGTGTGGGTGTGGTTAGCCAGATCTACCATCAGTTCTTGTTTTCTATTTCTTTCATAATTATTGTATTGTATTTTTATTCTGTTTGGTTTTATTATACACCGCCCAGAATTCATTCAGAGTCCAGTGGTATAAATTAAACAGAAGCACCCACTTGGGTCTAAACAACCTTATCTTTGGTAGCTTCCTGTATAGCTGTAAAACCTGAGAACCTCAGAGGGACTGGATGTGGGCAGCATGCAACCAGAATTGCCAATTTTCTTCCTATTTTGCTTCTGAGCTTGCAGAGGTGTTGGACCAGTCACACTGCTAGGCAGATTAGACAAAAGTCCACTTAAGAAGTTCCGTCTGTTCCTCTTAAACCAGGACGGACAATCTGCAGCTAAGGACCACAAGCAGCCCTCAGCCTAACTTCATCTTGCCTTCGGACTAATTTAATACTGTTGGGAGGAGCCTAGAGGGAGAAAAGCAAATGAAAAGCCAAAAGCGCTCAGGGGAGTGATGAAGAGGAGACGGCCATTTGCTCACAAGCCAGCTAATCGCATTTCCGGAAAATGCCACCTGGTCCTCCCATGCAGTTCTGAAGGGATAACAGAAAAGGTGTGATGCGCAGAAATAACAGGAGGGTGGCTCTGCTCACCTTTAGCTCCAAACCTGCCCACCCCCTCATTTGCGGCAGATGGGGGGGAGGTATTTCCCCACCCCTGTTTTAAACCCTTCCCTTTGTCAGACAAGCGGGTACTGCTTCACCCATTAAAGTGAAAAGTTATGAGTCCCAGGTAAAAAGATTTCCTTTATATGATGAGGCCTCTGCATAATCCCCTGAGCTTCTTTAATGCATACTCCCCACTTTCCTAATAGCTAAGGACAATTTTTAGCACAATTTGCCTTATGAGGAGAAACTACCAACGATTTTTGAAAATTTTAATAACCCAGTGTTCATTTTTAAAAAATGGCTTTTACTTTTCAAGTAAATAGGAAGCAAATACATTTATTAAGAGTATGAATCTATAAACAATATCTGGAAATCACTCCAACATCTTAATCTGCTTCTACCAGTCAAATCTATTTTTTGTCACCATCTGGGGTACGATACATGGGCTTGGTTCATGCACCGTGCCAAGTCCTTACTTGACCATCACAGGCTATGTTCAGACAAAGCATACAAAGGCCTAGCATGATGGTCTGGTTCAGACAACATGCTACAACCCAAACCACACCAAACCACAAACTTGTCACCCATTTCATTTCTTCAAGTGTGTTATGCAAGCCTGCCAATGGAGTATGAAAGCCATGAATGTTCATTAATCAATACCCTATTATCCATAAGGAACAGAACTTTCTCCAATTAGGCGTAGACACCTGATTTCCTCTAGTTGTTTGAACTATAATTCCCATCAATCCAATTATCATGGTGAATGTCAAGAGTTATGGGACTTGCAGTTCAAAATACCTGGAAGACACCAGCTTGTCAATTCTGCCTCCAACTCTGGTGTTCTCCGAATGCTGGCTGGGAATTCTGAGAGTTGTAATCTCTAAAAATTTAGAAGAAACCGATTAGGAAAGGCTGGGCTACGTTCATTTTATTGCTCTAGTCAGGGATATTGCCATCAGCTGCAAACAAAGAGGATCATGAATAAAATACTGATATTAAAATAATACTAAGTTCATACAGATAGGACAGCAGTTCTCTCTGATAATCTGACAGGTTGCTGCAGTATCGAGATAGATGAACCAATGATCTAACCTAAGGTGTTCTCAAGTCCACATTGTTCAACTATTACATTTTTAATTGATGTTTTGTGGGAAGAATGAATAGGAATACAGCAGTGGGGAAGCCCAGGAAGACTAGGAAAGATAGAAGAGATGCTGCACAAAATTTGCTGAGTAAGGTAGGGAAATTTCATGATCAAAGTCTCACCTCACCTCCATTTTAAGGCAGTGCCTAAAGCTGATGCTCAATCTGAAACCATTTTTTAAACACAAGCAGTAGCTCCCTCCCTCCACAGAAGTATCAAATTATAGAAGAGAAACCTTTTTATGTGGTGGTGCTATCAAAAGCCTCAAACATGAGCTTCGTGCTTTATTTGAGATTTCCCAACAGCAACACAAAATATAACCCCTACAATCAAAATCTCCTTTCCTTTGTGCCCCTGCAGTAGCGGGTGTTCAACAGCTAAGTTTATCTAAGGCTCAAGAAGAGAGGGAGCATAATCTTTGTGTTAACCCTGCTCTCTGCAAACCTTTCTTCATGTTGATGAAGACTTCTGAACCTAGGGCCTTTGTATTCCTGCGGGGGTTTCCACATCACGCAGAATTAGGTGCACTGCACAAGGAGCCTACATGGATCCAAAAAACACATTACTTCTGAAGTTCAGAAGAATATGAGGAGGGTAATGCAGAATGTAGAACAAGGGTGCTTGTGCTCACTCTCCTTCCTTCAGACCATCACTCAAACTGAAATGTATAAAGTCTGTATATATCTAATGCTCATCCAAACTAGGATCAGACTTACCTGGGGGACAGAATAATTTAGGTCAATAATTTTTGTTATTATTTTTAGTGTTTGTCCTGCTTAGGTGCAAGGCCTGCTTCTTTTTGCACTGTGCTTCATACAGCTGCAATTCATGATGCAATGGGAGGAGGGTTATCAGTCATTTTTTTTGCAGAGCCTGGTGCTGATTAGGATTGAGAGACCCAAGGTCTCCCATCAGGTTTCCAGGCCTAAGGGAGAAGTAGACCTGGGTCTCCCTGCTCATAGTCCAGCAGCTTAATCACTATACTATCCTGGCTCTCAATTTATGCCAGGAGTTAACCAATGGAAGTGTGTCCCAGGTGTTCAAAATAGCACTTCTCAACCATGAGGTGCCTGGAAAGCAGGCTAATCTGAGGTTAGAGATATGGCCTGTTCTCAGTGAGGTTGGACTTCCTTTGTAGTCTGGTATGCTCTTAGACTCAGCATTGTTCCTGATTGGTCAAACAGTAGCTGTGGCCACCAGTATCTTTGCATGGCTTTGTTTGGTACACCCGTTGTACTCTCTCTGGAGAAACAAATCAAACCACTGTCACATATGCATTGATAATAGATTATCGTAACATGCATACTTTGCACAAAATTTTCACTGCAAAATAACTGAAAACTTCAGCTTCCAAATGCAGACACCAAAAATGTGAAGAATACAGATCATTGAAGGTATAATGTCAAACCAACTAGACATCTCAGTAGTTCAGGCTGTTTCACAGACTCACTGTGGGACTGGGTGCAAATCCTAGACACACGAATAATTTATCTTCCCCCTTAACCAAAATGCTCAGGCTGACCTTGAGACAGGGAGTGAAATCTGGGAGGTGTTCAGGACTGGAGTGAAGAAATGGTTATAGTAATAGAGGACTGTAATTATCCTCAGACAGTCTGGATAAATGCATATTCTGATCTCAGAAAAGAGGTGAACCAGCTCATAACCAACTACATAGATAAAAGTTTTACCATTTTAATAATAAATGGAGGTTGCTGCATTGTGAGGGATATGAATCTTGTATGGTGTAATGCCTTCAGGGTCATCTCCTTCCAACAGAATCCAGCTACACAACCAGGAGGGAATGCTTGGGTTCCCCCCATTTGGGGCAGGTAGGTGTGTACCCAGATACAGGCCTTCTCAATGGCTGGCCTGTTTTCATGGAACAATCTTTTGCAGAAGCCCAGTCTGCCCCTATTCTGCTGTCATTCAAGAAGACTTTTATTTCATAGGGCCTTTGGAGTCTAAGTGGCTGCTCCAATTCTGTAACCGGGAAAGGGAAGGGGAATTTTATTTTCCTGTGTTTTTAAAATCCCACACCAACACATCTGATTCTCAAAGAAGACAGTTCTCAAAAATCAGCAGAGTGGCAAAAAGGATGTTGAAAGAAGAAAAAGAAAAGATGAAAAAATTCTCTAAAATGTTTGGGAGTTAAATAAAAGAAACTTGCTAGAATATAGACCTTAGATCAGCAAGAGAAAAGAATGGGAAGGCTTACCTAAATGAGAAGAATGTAAAGGAATACAATCCCATGCAAAAGAAATGCAATTTCATAAGATTTAAAATAAAACTATGATATTAAGACAAATAATTGAATATAACTAAATTAGAAGCAGAAAATCTGGTAGGGCAATGGTTGGAACACAGAAATGATAAGAATTAGGACACTGCAGAGAAGATTTATGAAGAATTGAGACCTTTCTTCATGACATAAAATATAAGAGAGAGCTTTATGTCTGAACTTAAATCTTCAGGAAAAGACTTCAAGGCAGTACAACAAATGATGGTAACTGGAAATGCAGTTCTAGGCACTGACAAATTGAAAACAGGCAAATTGCTTGATCAAGACTCTGTTCATTGGTTAAGAAATGTAAGATTGCTCTTTCTGGAAGGGCAGGAAAGAGATCGATGCTTGATCAAGACTCTGTTCATTGGTTAAGAAATGTAAGATTGCTCTTTCTGGAAGGGCAGGAAAGAGATCGATGTAATGCTATTTAAAAAGAAAATGATCAGAAGTTGAGGGAAGGGATCCCAATCAGAAGGTCAGCCTGAGCATTTTGGTTAAGGGGAAGATAAATTATTCGTGTGTCTAGGATTTGCACCCAGTCCCACAGTGAGTCTGTGAAACAGCCTGAACTACTGAGATGTCTAGCTGATGTTCAGCTTAACATCTCGTGTTGGCAAACTGATGGAATGTATTATTAAGAGCCAGACTATCACACACAGCAGACAGGCCTTGCGGAAGAAAAATCAACTTGGCTTCTACATACATCATTAATCTTGAGTTCTTGGAGAATATCAAAGATAGGGACAGAGGTGATCTAATAGATGATATTTATTTTGTGAAGGCTTTGGACTAAATTATGGAATTTGCTGCCCCAAGACAATTTTGAAAGAAAAGTAAGCACATTGATGGAGGATACAGCTATCAATGATCACTACTGATAGTAACAATAGCTCAGAGGCAGTATCAGTGGCAGTCTGCCTTTCATGAGCAAAAAACAGCATTTGCCCCACCTGCTTGCTTCTGGGCTTCTTATCAGAATCCAGTTGGCCACCGTAGGCACAGAATACTGGACTGGATAGGCCTTTAATCTGAGCTTGCAGGACTCTTCTGATTTCTTGCATTTCATGTTGTTTCATGAGTTAATGAAGAAAGTTATTGCTGTGCTGTTTTCTGACATCTGTTCCAGGTTATTTTATGTCCCCATCTGTATTTACCTATTTCCTATATTTATTATATTTGTGCCATTTGTGAAGGCTTTTTAAAATTGCATATTAACAGATCAATAAATCTCCAAGTTGCGTCCATCTTCCCTTCAGCCCCCTGCCCTCTGTGTTTCTTGAGAACTTAAATCACTAAGCAGAGGGGAGGTGTCTTGTTGCTAGCAGACGCTCATATATATTTCAGTATAGGGGCATTAATTCTGCAATCATGCCTACAGTGTTACAGAATTAAATTCTCCTGAGTTCAATGGAGTTTCATGCAGGTTTCCGCAAGGAATGGGCAACTTGTGGCCCTTAACCTACTTCTATGCAGCTCATGGGCTAATTCCAACAAGCAATGACTCTGGATCTTGGCCTGTCCCTTGAAGTCTATCTCATGGAGGAATGAGTGGAAAAGTTAAGAGAGAGAAAGAGAGAGAGGAAAAAGGGGAAGAGGAGAAAGTAAAAAAGAGAAACCACAGGAAAAAGAGGGGGTCAAATGAAGAGAAAGTATAGGTCTCCCCTCTTCCACCAAATATTTTGGCCCTACAGGTAGTCCCCAGGTTAAGAATGCCCAGGTTACAGATGACCCATAGTTAAGAACAGAG